TAATCCAGTAGACCTGGCTTTTCTTCAGCTGAGTGAGAAGTCAGAGGATCCTGTGAGAACAACAGCACGGGAAGAGCGCAGAAACGCCAACAAGGCGAGACGAGCTATAAATACTGCAGGAGTGAATAATTCACAGGGCGGCTGGTGTGAATAATGCAGAGACAGGTGACTGGAGGAGAGGAGGTGATCCCACCCAAGCTGCTGTGAACGCGACGCTGCCCACTCCGCAGCTCTGGCAACCGGCTGCTCTCCCAGTGATCACCTACAGCGGGCTGAGCGCTCACAGAGCTGAGCTCACAGAGCTGAGCTCACAGAGCCGCAATCACAGAGTCCTACACAGCTCCTGCCTTCCTCTGAGGAAGGACCTTCTCTGCCTGACCACAATGTGCACACAACCACACTCGCAATGACTTTGCACACAGACACACGTGCAAATGCGCACATGCACACGAACACACATGCACGCACGCACACACACACACACACACACACACACACACACACACACACACACACATACACATGCCTGGCATGCTTATACACTGGCACTCACTCATGTACACACACCTACGCAGGCATGCAAAAACTACAAAAAAGAATCTGCTGAAATTTAAGGCTCTTCCACACCATCAGGATGGATTCCAATACTTAAATGCATGATTTACCATTTCCACTATGGCCCATGCTAGGACACTCAGACAAAAAGAGAGGTCAAAACTACTATGTCTGTACTGGTGCAAAGATAAGAGGACAACTCATTCGTGGCTCAGGTGAAAAGGATTATAAAGTTGTTTTGCACAAATTAAAAAAGTTACTCAAATTGTCGGTTTACCTGCAATGCAGGGGTGTGAGAGCACTGCTCGCACTCTGTATGAGCAAACAAACAGGTCTAATTCTGCATCTGAGGTGAAACCGTTCATGCCTGTGAAGATCACACCTTGAAAGTCTGCTGAGTGACAAGATCACAGCGCCTCCCAGTGGCTAAATGTATAGCCACACGGCAAACTGTTCTGAGGAGTCAAGGGCAGGCCACTTTCATTTAGGCCTGCACACCTCCTGCTCCTCGGGAGAGAGGTTAATAAGGGTTAACCCTGTCACATTAAACAGCCAGGTCGTTCCATTGGGTGATTAGGTTGATAAAGACCAGAGAAATTATGACAAAAAATAGAATTTAAACCCTTACCTCAACGTATGAGTGGACTAAAGAACAATCCACAAAAAGCGAAAATATTAAAGTGTCTCTGCTCGTTAATTAACGATACAGACACACTGCAGTTATACTGAATGAGGGCCTCAGAAAGTTAGATTCATAAAGGAAGGGCAATTATGAAATATGCTCCACTTAACAGAAAACCAACCACATTAATAAGTAATGATGTAAAAAATTAAAGGCTTCAGAAAAAGCAGGGCGAGCGCTGAAGGCTACAGCTCTTAATTCCGCAGCTAACGTTAAGACCACAGCTCACACCTCAGAGCGCTGAGGGACCTCACTGAAAAGGGCTGGCGCAGGGGCATTGTGGTACCAGTCTAAATCCTATCGCCCCCTAAAGCCTCTCAGCTCCAGCCAGCAGGTGGGAGTCCATTACCCCTCGCCCCTGACCGTCCCATTACCCCGCCGTTTAAAGGTCAGACGTATTTTAGGCCCTGTGCATGGCTCTGGGCTTAGATAACCCACTGCGAGCGCACACAGGAGCGGCTATTGCCCACTTGCTGGGGGCTGTTATGAGCCAGACACAATGAGCCAAACACAATTGGGTTTTTCCTGGAAAAGGAGGGTTTTTTTCTTTTGGGGAGGGGGGTGTCATTTACGAGTCTTCTGCCACGGATGATCTCTCCAAATGTTTAAACAGGGACCATGTGTGGTGAGCTTTTAAACACATGAACTGAATGAGATGAGATTGTTTCCTTTCAGACATTTGACTTTACAAGCTCCTTCGCGAATCCAAGCGTGACTTATTAACCACCACCCCGTCGAAATGCACTAACGTCTTCCTTAGGCGAAGCAGCTGAACGAGTGTCTTTTACAGAGCGATGATAGCGCGCTCTTCCGAAATACCAAATTAGCCCCAAGTCACATCAGATCAAAGGTACAGACGTTTTCCTGGCCTTGTTTTCTCCAATTACAGTCGTCCTTGGCTCCGCTCCACTCTCGGCATCCTACGGCTCAGAATATAAAGTGTTGGGATACGGGGCATCATTAGAGGGTTCAGGTCGGGCGGACTGTAATTAGGTGAATTTAAAGAGCGCTCTGCATCTCTTGGGTTCAGTGCAAAGAAAAAAAATGGAGTCAGTAGGTGGAAAATGAGTGCAAGGAAAATTAAACCACAGTTTATGAGCTCCTCAACTGCAGATAAATGAAGTTGTACCGCAATATGAGTGTGTATCTATTCACAAGATTTTAAATATGGAAAAGACATAATGGCATAATCAGGCATAATGCTGCCATATACATAATATAGAGATAATACAGAGAAAATCAGCATCCCATTGCCTGAGATTTAAGAGGGCATTGAGAACACAGTGCAGGTATTGATTTGGACACTCAATTTTAAAAGTTTGGAGGATTACATGAATGTCTACCCACACCATATTTTTGACAGCTTGAGTCACTTTGACTAGCCTAGAACCTGAAATACTGCCGCCAAGGGCTCTCTCAGCTACTGACCATACTGAAGTCACTGTGACTGATGGACAATGAGGAGCACATGGTCCTCTATCAATGTGCAGCGTGCAACATGATTTTTCACAGAGTGGCTGATGGGAAATGTTCTTAGCATGTTGAATGTCTTCCACAACCATCATCTTTAGAAAACACCTGAATATCCACTTTGCAAACTGAAGGCAGCCCTCTGGGAGCAGACTCTCTTCTGCTACTGATATGAAGAGAGAGCATTTGTAAAATTAATACAGGGAGACCCCTGGTGGACAGCTGGGAATACAACACTCAGTTAAGAACCAAAACACCAAGGAGACGTAACCTTAACAATATAACCAAATATTTTGGCCTATATTTTGTAATTTCCTTTGTACTGCAAGAAAAAACACGTAAATTTTAAAGACTGGCAACCAGGTACAAACCAGTTGTACAAACACTGTTCCTATGGAGCAGATGAAGCTAAGTGAAGCTTTACTCCACATTAACGCCATATGAATCATCAGTGCTGTAATCACAGCATTGGTCTGTAAGCAGACTAGGGAACAATCACGAGAGCTTACCTCACTCAGTAAACAGAGCAAAGCTGAGACTGGGATCTAACCAACACAGCTCACCAGAAAATTGCGAGTAAACTCTGAAGAAACAAAAAGGCACGGAGAAGGTGGCCGTTCTGCCCCTCTCCCCTCACACAGCTGCAGAGCATAAAACCCACCAAAGCAGGGTCTAATCAGCTGCTCTTCTCTACTGCGCAGACACACAATACCCAATCAGAGCGGCACGCATCCGCTCAATGTGTTCTGCTCACTCTCAACCAACAAAGCTTCTATAGGGAGGATAAATATCTGGTCAGAGCCACTGTCTTGTGCTTGTGAATGAAGAGCTCCTAACACACCAGCTGTGGGGTTCTTTTATGCCGACCTCTGAGCGCGTGCAGTAAACATGAACACCCCCACATCCCCGTCACTGTGTTCTCCCAGGCTGAGAGGGAGTACATAGCCTCAGACTGTTGGGTGCCAGCACTGCGTCAGTAGATTAAGACATCACATCCTGAGCCCTGCAGACACAAGGGACTGCAATTTGCCACCTGCTGAATACAGCCAAATGGCATTAGTTAATGTGGATAGAAAGCAACCTGTTAAAGTGAACAGAGCCCTCAGGCTTAATCACAAGGGTCCAGGTTCGCTGGTTCTGCTGGAAAGGCGCGAATGTGTCCTTCGCCTTCATGGTCTGAGCATTAGTGTTAATGTGAGAACCTCGCCATGGGAAATCAGCTGTGTTAAGAGAAGCAAAGCTGCCTGCAACGCTCTGTCTACAGAGACGCGGTCTCTCAGCACCAAGGCCGGGCAAAGCCACACCTGGCGTCTACACAGGTGGTGACAGCGAGTATGGCAGTTTCTTCCTGTTAAAATGAAGCCAGTGCATGTAGCAGGCACCAGGGCAGGCCACCTGTCTGTGCATACCTGCTCTTTTTGCAGTACGGGCATATATTTGCCCTAAAGGTAGAGAGGGTGAGAAAGAGAAACAAGATCAAAACCTATGTAGATCCTCTTCCAACAGCTACAAAAGTCCTGGACTACGACATGTGTCTAATATCAGCCTTCTTGCTAGAATCCCCTACATTGTTGTTTTCTCGGTGCAGTTTCAGAGATGGGGGGAGATTTCAGGAACACCTAGGACTGTGGGTCACTGCTGGGATGGGGAGACTGAATTTGGGAAATGCTCCGCTTCTACACAGCTCCTCTTTCCACTCCTGTGCAGCCTATATTGCAGGTGCCACATGCCGGGCACACTGGGCCCTCTAGTGCAGGGCACTGGAGGGTGTGCATTCACTGTCCGGACACGCACACACGCATGCATTTCTGTGGGACTCCGCTCATGCTAGAAAAAAAATGTGTATTCACAATATTTTCTACAGTCTAACTGTAGCTTTTGCTCAACTGTACACCTAGCAAGTGGCCCTTTTCTGGGTATGGACTGAGATATAGAGGGTAGGATGGGGTTCTGGTATTCAATAAAACGGCGGGGTGACGCAGTGGTGAGGGGCGTGTTTGCGGAGCGTGTGGGAGACGGGGACACTCACCTGAGTCCGCAGCAGGGCAGCGTCAGCAGCCTAACCAGAGCCAGCAGGACCCGCAGCGGGAGCAGGGTAAACACATACAGGAAGGCATCCAGGCACAAGAAGAACCCGAATATCATCAGCTGCAGACACAGGACAGGGCCACGGTCATGCAGGGGTTAAACATGGTCATCAACACATCTACAGGTCAACCGTGCTTCTACATACCACAGTGAAAAGATTCTCAGCTACTGTAAACCCTTTTAAAGGTGGTCTATACACTGGGACAGCAGTGTAGCACAGCGGTAATGAGCAGGGCTCATAACCAAAAGGTTGCTGGTTCGATTCCCCACTGGGACACTGCTACTGTACCCTTGGGCGAGGTACTTAACCCCACAACTGCCTCAGCAAATATCGAGCTTTATAAATGGATAACATGTACAACTTGTAACCTATGTAAGTCGCTCTGGACAAGACCGTCTGCTAAATAACAGCAATTTAATGTAATGTGAGTCTTGGAGATTAATTCAGATTTGCTTTTACTGTTAACTAAAGAAAGAGGACAATTATATACCTATGACAACTTTATTTTTTTACGTATGATTGTAAAGTAAGACAATTGCAGGGAACACCTGATGCATAAACACTAAGGAAGGGCTCTAATGTCTCGATATTAGTGGGTTTTCTTTAACTGTGATATTCCAGCTGGATACTGATACACCTGCCACTGTAAAATCATAAGTCAAACACATTTAACAGCTGTGAGAACCTTGCCACTGCCACTGCAACTACCATCCTAAACTCTAAAAGACACAACCTCAAAGGGTTTTGTCGTGTTATAATGATGGCCCCATGTTTGGTCTGAATACCACAGAAAAGGGGGGGTGCGGATATGGCAGGAGCACTGAATTCCCCCATAAATGTGTCACAGAGGCAAACACTAGCTCAATAACAAAAATGATTAAACACAAGATATTACACGTCAAACAAAATAGGACAATTACTGTAAATAGGGATGTGATGTAAATTTACTGTTTTGTATGAAGAAACACTGATGGTGTCTGCCACCAAGTAAACTTCACTGATCTCTTGCACCCCCTTCTGGCTCAGAGAAATTGATGAATTGCTGTAAACTTTTGCATGTAGATGGAAAACTATGTGCTCTTCCTGTTCCTGCCCTAAGTCATCAAATGTACTGTACGCCTAACAGTTTTTACAAGTGCATATCTAGATGCCGGACATTCCTCACGGTACATTGAACACGTATGTACAGAGGCAGATTCACAAAGGGGTGAGACATTTCTCAAAGGGCAACTGAACTGGATCCCAGTGGGAGCTGGAACAATACAGAGTTAAGTCCCTCAGTTCATAGTTAGAAGTCTTGCAGTTGTTACAAAATGAAACTGAAGAATATCTCTGATGTTCATTTGTAAAGCACATCCCTTTCAAAGTGGCATTCCTTCAGCAGTGAGCATCCTTTCAATGCCATTTTACCCAAAATGTTTTACATTTTTCTGCAATTGTCTCTATAGTTTTAAATCTGAATGATAAAGCATATTCAGTATTTTAGTATCACATTTATTACCCAGTGTCATCACAATTTCATTTCTTAAACCAAGGGCGGGAAATTAAAATGGAAATTTTTGAAAAGAAGTTAAGAGTTGATGGAACACGTTCACTATAACTGAATCTACCACTTACAGTTAAGACATCTCTTACTCTACAGCATTTGACAATACTATCAAGTGACCACAACCTGTAACTGACAGAGTTCATTAGACTGATTACAATATCACACTTCACTTGTCAACCAAAACATCTCCTTTGAAAAATGTGAACTGACCTGTGGAGAAAAGATGACAAATGTGTTGAATCCCAACCATTCAGCAAAAACAAGCCTTACTGAATCCTGCAGGCACGAGGGGTTGCCTCATTTAAAAGGAAATGTTGAGGAACCGGATAATCACTACTAAATGTGTGAAATCCTGAGACAAATTAACCAGAGGAAAAATGATCTTATTTCCCACACTGCAACATCGGACAAAGTAAATAATAAAAAAGCAACCTTCCGAACAAAAGAAAGCATACACACTACAGCACTCCTGCTGGGGGTAGACAATGCCTCATTTCCAAACCTACTCAGAGCTTCAGACAATGAGCCTCATAATAGATTTAATCAGATGGACATTGACACTGAGGTTTGTTCATGAAAACAGGTTTCACACACCCTAAAAATGAATGAAAATACTGGTCCAACTGTCACCAATATTATATATTCTTAAATTTTTCTTAGTGTCTTTGTTGGTTAATGTTAAAGCTATGTTAAATAATTTTGTTTGTCACTTGTTTAAATACATAATTACATATAAATACATATTCATGCCTTATGATATTAATATGTATTTACAGTCTGTAGGCTGTTTCTTCAAGAACTGAATGTGACCAGTATGAAAACATAAACAAAAGCAAACCTAAAGGAGAGTACTAAAGCTTTAGGCTAAATGTTTCCTCTGCAGTTATTTTTATCATACACCTCAGGGATCGTCAAGTAAACCCTCCTGATGGATGAGCCATTTCCATGGATCGATAATGAAATATTTATAGTAAATATGTTGAGACTGCAATCTTGGGACGAGAAAGAAGTAAACAAATAGTAAGAGCTTAGAGCTGAGGATGACACACACAAACACATACACACACATACACACACACATGTACACACGCACATGTGCATGACCACACACACACACACACACACGCGCGCGCACACACGCACACACACGCACACACACGCACACACACGCACACACACACACATCAATACCTTTGTGAAGAGAATATGACGTCGGAGGCCGATCATGTTTCTGGTGTTTACCCGCTCAGTGCTGCATTTCAGTCAGGACTTCCACCATGACCTAAGCAGTAATGGAGCTACTTCCTGGAGCCCACACGGAGGTGGGGTAGGAAGAATCCCAAGAATCTGCTTTGTTTGGAGCTAAGTAGCCTTTTCATTGGCCTGTCATGTCTTTGCCTTGAGCTCTCCCAGTCGCGGTGACGCAGTCTTGTTGCGGGCACTTAATTGCTCAGCCTCGACTTGAGTAACAGGACGGCAGTCGCCAACCAAGAGAGCACTTTGAAAGGGCTTCAGAAAGCGTAAGGAAATATCGCTCCTTGAAATGCCTCATTACACACACTGTTCTTGTGAGCCTCTGGGTTCATTATTAATGGAAAGCAGAGGTGGTCTGAGGATAAGCCAACCCAGAAAGGCACATTTTTAGCTGAGGAAGCTACAGACTCCTCTCTCTTTGTAGGCGACTGTATGGGTACACATAACAACTGGCCACAGACATAATCACATGCAACTAGCTGTAGTGATCAGTTGATTTATTTGTAAGCATTAGCTGAAAAGCTGATTAGGTATTATCCTTTGACATGTATATCGTAAGAAAATATGCCTGTTGGAGAGTTTTCTGTACATATGCTTCAATCAGCAAAAGACTTTTCCTCCCTTCACTATGTCCATTTTACTGTCAGAATAAAAACTATTTTTTTCACATTGGTTTCACATATAACAGCTAGCTATTAAGGTAGTTAGGTCTCTAGCACTAACCTTAAAAAACACTTCCAGCACAAAGAGGGCAGCTGTGCTTATTAACATTAGCATTATAAATTACCTTCAAGAATCATTCTGGCTGGCTAACTGGCTATTTCAATGGCTACTACAGTAGATAGCTACCAAACTGTTATAGCTAAAAAGCTAGACAGACAAACACATACACACATGCACACGAACATGCACACATCCAACAAGTTCAAGTCGATACTCTTTTGAACGACAGCTGTGGTGTCAGCCTAATGGTCACCGTGTCATCGGCACGTGGCTACAGTAAAGTAAGTAGGGGAAACTGGTGGTTACCCACCAATAAACACACATAAAAACAAGATATTCTCAGCAGATCACCTCCATCCAGTGTCACAACATGAATCTGAAGCCATCTGGGTTCAAATTGGGCGCAAAGGAAACAGGACTGCTATGACCAAAGTTGACCGTTTACAATGCAAACAAGCTTTCCTTGCGCGGACAGTGTGCCTAGATTGCAGTCTCATTACGATGCAAGGCATCCTTTTTCTAAGATTAGCAGCATGCTACAGGAAAATGAAGAGGGGGCTTCCATGACAGGCATGACTGTTTTGGCAGGTTAGCAAGCACTCTTTCACGTCCCTGAGCTCATGTCACACTGAGCAGAGTGAAATGAAAAACCCTTACTACCTCAGTTACTGTGTGGATTAAATCAAGTATCCTCCTCATCCCATTATTTTTGTTGTTTAGGAATCACCTTTAAACTAAGGAAGATGACAGTACCAAATAAGGTTATAAATAAATCAAAACAGGTCTAACAGGAACATATCTGCAGTTTTTGTCAGAGCAAATCAAGACAATATTTACAATGATTAATTCTTGCTTTGGGTGGTTTTATAACAATTGGGGTGAATTCAAGATAAAGGCAAAACAATAGATGCCACTCATTTCTGTGTGTGAAATTTAAAGTATTGTCTGCAGGTACAAATTACATTGCTATCATCTTTGCATATGCAGGTGAAGTCAGTGCAAAGAGCACATGAATTCTGTTCAGAACAGCCACCCCTACAGTAACCTATCAGAATGGGTTACTAGATTTACTCAAGCCCCATTACTGTCCCTCTTCAACATTAGGCAGTTTAAAGGGCCATTCAAACCAAACAGCTCTCGGACCTCCCACCTTCACATCCACTGTGCTGTGCTGCAGTGCATGTTCATTCTGCTACTGCTGCTGTTACACACTTCAGCCTCCCTGCCAGAAGATGGCAGCACTACCGTAACTGACCACAACCATATTGTATCTGCATTATCATCTGTCCAGCAATCCATTTTTATTATCAGTTAAAGGGCAAGCATTCATATAATGCGGACACATAAAATTTAACAAATGTTACACACTATCTCATTAAAAATAGTGTCACTTGAGCAGTGCAACAGCACCCTCTGCCTGATGACCACAGCACTGCAATATGTGACCAGGCCAATCTCCCAGAGATCTTGTGAGTACTCAGCCTGGGAAACCCTCTTTTGGATACAGAGCTTGGAAAACAGGCTGAAAATAATACCTCAACTCTGCTCCTAAACAAACAAAGGTTGAATGAAATACAGCTATAATGTTGGATTGTGATTCTGCTTTTCAGTTATGCTTCCAAGCCTTTTATTCAAATGTCAAACGCAAACTGCGCCAAATCTGAATTTCATATCTGACAAATGCCTTTTTCGGGATATATTTTTAATTTGTTTGTTAAGCAACAGCTTATATAAAAATTCATTGTAGC